TATAAACTTTCTAAAATAATATTAGTTAGAAATTATAAACAATAAAAAAAAGAAAAAACCGAAAAAAAATTTTTTTAAAAAAAAATAGAAATTGTTTTGCTTATTGTATAACTTTTGCACAACATAATCAAATAACATAAAATTTTAGTATGTTGTATTCTGGAAGTTATTAAATACATAATAAAAAATTTATATAAAATTTATTTGTTCAATACAAAGCAATTGTAATTTCAAAAGTATTTTCAATTTATTAATAGATTATTGTATTTTTTCAAAGTTAAATATAAAATAGTAAAAAATATTTAAATTTTTTAAAATATTTTTAATACAACTAATCAATAGCAAATAATATAAAAATATTTAATATTATTATAATTTAAAACACTAGTTTTACAATATTTTAAATTTAGTTGTTTTATATTTAATAAAGAACTAATTGACAAGTTAGAATATTTATTAAAAAAAAATATTTAATTTATTTTTTAAAACAAGTATTATTAAATTTATATATTTTATTGAAAAATTTTTCAAATAATTGTTTAGCAAATTAAATTAAATTTTTAGAATTATTGAAATATTTTGTTATAATATTTTGATATTCTAGATTATTAAAGAATAAAAAACTTAAATTATTTTATTGATATTAAAATATTTAAATTTCTTCTATATATAATATATTGAAAAAATTGTAAAAGTACTTGAAAATTTTCAATTCAAACTATATATATTTTCTTATTATTATAAAAAGAAATTTGATTTACAATATGATTTCTAATTATTTACTATATATTATTAAATATAATATAATTTTTGAAAAATGTTTAAATTCAATTTTATCATATGTATAGTTTAAATATATTTATAGTAATTAATAAGTTTTTGTAAATTTGGAATAAAATTAAAAATATTTTAAGTATATTAAATTACTATTAAATAAACTTTTATTATAAATTTAATTAAAATTACTTTAGTATATATAAAAACTCATAAATGAATAGTCATAGTTCTAAAAATTGAAATTGAACAGAATTATATAAACTTATATAAAATTTAAATATTATTAAAAAAAATAATAAGATATATTTTATCTATTAAATTTAATATAAACTTGAGAATTAAATATAAAATTAAAAAGATTCTTTAAGATTTTTATAAATAATAAAACAAAATTTTTTAATTTAAAAAAAAATTAATTTTATAATTGATTATCAAAAGATTTTGGAAAATAAATTATATTTATATTATATTATATATATGATAAAATTGAATTAAAACATTTTCGAAGAATTTATTAAAAAGTATTAAGTAAGTTTAAAATACTTGTAACAAATAAAACAAAAATATAGAGGTGACGAGAATAATTTATATTATAATATTATAATAAAACAAGATTTGATTGAGGTATATAATATTTTAAAATACTTTCAAAACTATTATACTAATTTTTTTTTTTTAACATATAGTTAAAAATATTATAAAAAAATTATTTATCAAAAAAATTTATCTAAAGCTTATAAAAAAACAAAAAATTTTTAATAATATTAAAAAACATATTATAAAAAAATTTTTTTTATAGTTTTTAAGACAATAAGAATATTTTGATATAAAAAATTCAAAATACAATATTTTTTATATTTAATGAATCTAGATAGATTTAATTAATATAAGTACTAGCTCTATTAATATTATAGTATAGAAAAAAATCATGAAAAATTATATAATACTATAAAAATCTTTTCAAAAACAATAAAAAAAATAATATATATATAATATAAATTTTTAAAAAAATATGATCTAAAATAAATATTTCTAAAAAATATATTGTCTTTATAATATCAATATATTCAACAATTTTCAATTTTGAAAATAATATAACTCATATTAAAAAAATTTTTATAAAACTTAAAATGCTAAAAAGCAAGATAAATTTGAATTTTAATATAAAATGATTTAAAGAATTTTTTTTAACTTTAATATTTTTTTAAAAAAAAATATAAAATAACAAAGTTTTTTATTAAGGTTCATCAAATTTTAATAATAATAACAATATTGATAATAAGCAAGATATTATATATAGAAATTATATTTTGTTTAATATTTATATTTTTAAATTTGACAACTTAAATTAATATTATATTTTATTTAGCTTTTAATTTTTTAGATTTAATAATTTATATAAATTAAAAACAATAGTTTTTAAAATATTAATAAAAAATACATATTGTTATTAAATTCTTTTTAATTCTATAGTTGCATAAGTCAAATATAAAATATAATAAGGTAATTTGTTAATTATTAATATACATTTTCAAAAAAAATTTAAATTTTTAATTTTTTTACAAATATATTATTTTTTTTTATAATTTAAGATATTGTAAAAAGTATTGAAACATTTGATTGTTTACTAATTTTTATAATATAAATATTCCGTGATATAAATAGATTAACAAATTAGATAATTTAAACTAATAATAAAATTTTTATTCTTTAAATCTATTTCATTTAATATATAAATTTACTTTTTTAGTATAAGTTTATATAACTGAATTATAGCAATAGGTTATAATTGATTTATAATATACAAGATCATTAATGTAATAACTATAATCTATAATTAATAAAATCTTGCATTTAATATTTAGATGTTAATAAAAATATATACGTATTAGATAAGATATAAAGAAATAAAGAAATAACGTTTATTGGTTTTTTTTAAAGATTATCTAATTTTAATAAAGATTGTATTGTACGATATCAGATATATAAAATTTATTACGAAAAGCAAATTAACTTCATATGTAGTAACTACTTTTGATTAATTATTATATGATAATAATATTAAGTGATTACTTATGTATCGAAAAGTACTTTATATGACGGTGGGTATCGAAAGTGAAAAACAATCGATTGTCAATAGATTCTTTTTTTAAAAAAAATAAATTATATGCATACAATACCGTATATCTTTTATTTAACCATTGAATTTGGATTAAAAGATATTTGTTATAATGCACCGAAGAAATAATGACATACTGCATGCAAAAATCAAAAAAAAATTTTTTATTTATTGATTTTATAAGAAAATAAAATTTGTTCTTACCAGAAAGCCTTATTAAAGATTTTTTAAGAAATAATTAAAATACCGTATTTTATTTATATGTACAGTATACACGGCAAGTTTTTTATTTTGTTTTTTGCAATAAAATATGAATGTGTGATATTGCTTAAATATTGTTTGTTGAATCGCAATAGAAAGATATCACACTTCAAAAAACCTTTGTATTCAATATAGCAAATAATGCATCGTGGCCTGTTTCATTGAAAGTTTTAAAAAATTGGTTCACTGCATTTATCATCATCTTTAGGAACTTTACATTTAGGGTTAAATCGATAGTAACCATTTCATTGATATTGAAAGATCAATATTTACTTTTACACATAATCTGGCATGCAATCTGGCGCCTTATGTCGCTCGAGATTTGTTTCTACGAAGATTTAAAAGACACGGGTGAAGACGGATTGACACCCTGAAATTTCCTTTCATGTTAATTTCGTGCGCAATACAGTTTGTTGTTTTTTTAAAAAAAAATTTTTTGTTTATTTAAATTCACATTTCTATCCAGGTTTGGGGTTTACCTTGTACACAAACAAAGCCAATTTTAATTTTTTACCTTTGAAATTTTCCACTCCACTCAGGCATTTAACTTCAGTTGTTTGTTTTTTTGCCTTTGTGCGCACATAAATGGCTAAAGGAATATGTATCGCATATTAAGCAATTTTCATTGTCGAGCTTTGATATCATCAAAATAGCATTTCAACGCACCTAATTTATCGTTTGACCAATAGAAGATGACTGTTCAGCTTATCTAAAATTCTCGTTATCACGCACTCTGTATTTATTACCCGATTAGTGTGTTGGTGTACGTTCAACGTATTTCGGTTCACGTGAACAAACGCCGTATTGCTAGACAAATAAGGAATGGTTAGGGTACACGAAAAAATCGGATGATTAGGATGATCATCAAAAAAACCATTAGCATATACCCTTTACGGATGATTGAATAGGAACCTTACAAACCTTATTTTAGCCAATCCATAAACGACCTGATTTGCTGGGCGAGTGATCGGGTTTAAACAAAAATGGTGAACATTTGCCATTTTTGAATTGTTGATCGCGGCAGCGAAAAAAGACTGATAGGGCTTCGTGAACCCAGGTCAGGTTTACGTGATACGAAGTCGCGCCAGCCATCTGCTCGTCTGCATAATATTTGAGGCCATACATTCTATTATCAAAAATTTACACATGTACTCCCCATCCGGTTTGACTGCATTTAGATTTCTCGTTTATATTGAAAATAGAAGTAAGAGTTCAAAGGATAGAATACATAGGCTTTAAGTACATAATTATTTGTCAAAAATGAGTGAAATATTAGGTTCATTTTTAACGGGGTAACAAGGTAAGGTAAACAATATATACTGTTATATATATATTGTATTATTATTAGTGTATAAAAAAAAAAAGAAAGAAAAAGAAAACGGATAAGAAAGAAAAACGTAGAATTTATCCGAATATGATAAGATAGATATTCTATAAATAAGTTTTTAGAATTGATTTTCGGAAACACTGAGAACATCGAGATCAAGCAGAAAATTCAAATCGTGCGTCCACGGTTCCGTGAAAGGTTGATCGTTTATAGGGATTTGGGGATGATAATTTGGGGGTGATATGAAATTGAAATAATCGGAATAAGACGATTCGATATTTACATTTTCAATAAAATTAATTGGCATGTCATTGTCACTCCCAATTTCTTGAGGAGAAAAAAAGTTCGAGCTCGGAAAATCCGAGTTAACCCATGGTTCCGGTAAATCGTCTTCCTGAGACATCTCAGGGGTTGATAACAATTCCTCTGGAGTTAAAGGAGATCTCTCCTCTGTCAGTTCATTTTGATTTGAAGATGAGATAGAAGTTGTTTCTTGTTTTTCGATTGTCTGCGAATCATCATTTTTAGATGCGGTTTCGTCTGATGAATCCTCCACTTCGATGGAGGTTTTCTTCTTCTTGTAAATTTGGCGTACGTCTCTTGCGATCTCTTTGTATTTTGTTTTCACCTCGTCAGATTCCAGCTTCCAAGAACTTGATACCAACGGGCTCACGTCGGTCATCTTGAATCGAAAATTCTGAGTGATCAACTCTTTGGTATACACCTTACGGTAAATAAAAAATGCGTTGGGTGGTTTGGAAGGCAATTTGCTTGTCGTAAACAGATCCTCAGCGTTTATTTGGGGAGGAAAAGGCAATGTGAGCTTCGGTAGCGGAGCCAAAATGGTTTGCATTTTTTCATCGGCAGAAATCATGGATTGAACTTTGACCACACTGCGTCCTGGTGGATGGCCGTATCTTCTGAAATTCTTCAGCGACGAAGTTAGCTTTGGCATTTTCGTTTCTTTTTTTTTTTTTTTTCGTTATTTTCTTCTTTCTATTTTTTTTTTTTTTCTTTTTCTTTATTGTTTTTTTTTTTCTTTTTTTAATTATTTTTTTTTTAAAAAAAAAAAATACTCTCTCAAGATAGTCAAAAGTAGGAGATTTCAATGAAACCTGAAGAACAGAAAGCTTTTTGGCTAATATTTTTATGTTAAAAAACGAAGGCAGTGTTACGCACGTACATACGTATCTTTTTGACTTCATATGGACTTGCCTAATAAAATATCGAGCCGATTGTCTTGTTATATTATCCGCACAGCCTATTTTGGTATGCCGTAATATTTTTAAAAATAAAACGGTGACACCCTATTTTATTTTTTAATAGATTTTGCAGTTGAGTACTTATCCACGCGTTTACTAAATAGCCATTAAGATTCCGTTGAAACTTTTTTTAGGGAAAAAATCGTTCTCACTGCAATTCAATGAATTCCATAAATCCTTTTATAGCTTCTAACGGCATTACATGCATTCTATTATTGTTGTATAATCTCAAGAGCATCCGTAACGGTTTTATCTATGGACTCCATTAGTGTCATTTTTCAAATTTTCAAATCTATTTAAATCAGAGCTTTCAGAGACGTGTGTCATTGTAAAGGTTGTCCGACACGTTTCAGATGACCAATTGAATCATTAGAAACGAAGGTCGAAAGTAAATAATTAATTAATTCCTTTTTGGTGGTTTCTTCACGCCCGAGATCTCGAAACAAATCACGTATACGCCGTATATTGATCAATGTTGATACTTATACATACGGTCATGTGAAGAAGTTGTATGTTCTTTTTCTTTTTTTACTTTTATTTTCAAAATGGGTTCACAAAAAGGTTTGGAAAAAACTTTGAAATATTCACACGGGTGAAACAAAAAGGAAAAAAAATTCATCTCCTGCTTCTTCCTTGTGTCGCCAGTTAACAATTCGTGATTTTTTTTTTTTTCTTTTTTTTTTTTAAAAAAAAAAAATTTTTAATCATTCATCCAACTCTTTCGTGTCTTACGCACATTAACCATTATTGGTCATATTTGTTACTTAACTTCGTGAATTTTATTGAACAAGGTACGTAATGATACAGAGAAATGTATTCAGATCCGCGAGTGTATGCAGTAAACAGTTCGTGACGTTATAGATACTACTTGTTTGTATATCCTTATTCTCGAGGACTGCATAAAGTCCTTCTGATCCTGTCACGAAACGAATCTTACCAAAAAGGAATTAA